TGTTGAGAATAACGAACCAATTCTCACTGTTCACGCACTGGAAGGGAATGGTAGGCAATGGTAAAGAGTGTATTGAGACTACTCTCTCTCTCTCTCTCTCTCTCTCTCTCTCAACACTATTTCATACACTCATTGAAGAATTGATTTGAAGTTTTTTCGTTAAGATTTTTATTTGTATTAAAATTGTTTCGAGAAATAGTCATTAATTATGAATAGTTTTTGCATAAAATACTCATTATTTCTGTGAATGCGGTAATCATTGGGAGAGAGAGAGAGAAATGGCATAAATTTATAGCAAATCTATATTACATTTGTGTGAATGACATACCATTCCCCTACCATCCCATCGCCTACAGGTGCATACAATTAACGCACCCGAAGTGCACGACAGCCATACGCCAGACGTGCCTCAACTCCGACGGCTCTATACTTCTATGCGTTTGCGACGACTCGACCGTTTGGCGCTGGGATCTCACGACCGGTAGCACCGGCGCGTCGACCACCACCACCACCACCACCGCCAACACGCACACCGCCAGCACATCCGAGGCCACTGACCCGGTATGACGTCTGGCGCGAGTGTGTATTAATTATTTATAATTTTATTGCCATTTATTTCTATTTACATAAGAAATAAGGCTTAGATTTTTTGCAGCATTTTATAAAAATGTCTTTTTTATTAGGAATCAATTAAACGGTTTTTAAAATTATTTAAATAAATCAAATCACTTTTTGCCACACATTTTGTCATTCATATCATTGCGAAAATGAGAATAAAAATCAATTCATATACTATTAAATTAATTACAAGTCTATCACACGATCACTACCATTACGACTACTTCCGAGGGTTAACCGCCTTATCAGCGATGGGCTCATCAGCGGCGGTCTCCTTCTGAGCGTTGATTTGCTCGTGAATTACGCGACTCTTGGGCTTCAAAAAGGTGGTGATCTCCGACCACTTCTGTTTGGACACACCTAACAGCGACTCCGTATCCTCCACGGGGTCCGTAATGCCCTCCTTATAGAAGGGCTTGAAGTACGTCAAGACATTGCGGACGTCCTCCTCGTTCAGGGCGTGCTGTTTGGCGATAGTGCCGGAGTCGTACTGTTCCGGACTCTTCGAGTGCTTGCCGATGAAGTCCAGCGCCCGGATCAGACTAATGCGACCCTTGGGTACGGACGCGGGCTCCACGTAGGCGTGCATCGGGATGTCGGTGCCCTCGTGGGACACCGGGAGTCGACTGCGCACCCGTTCCTTTATCTCCTTCATCTCTTTGAGCTCCTCCTCACTGACCGCCCGGTCCGTCGAAATCACTTTCACTGACGTTAAGCGCTTCAGAAGGTCCTCCCGTTTTTCGTTCAACTCTTGTTTGAATCGCGGGTTTTCTGTGAGACATATCACGCGATTAATGGGGGGTTTAGAGGCGTTTTAGGGGTAGTATAGGCGTGGGAGACAAGTGAGGCCTACTTTGAGTGATTTCTGTGAACAACTGATCCGTGCGCTCATGTCTTGGCGCCGCTTTGGGCACCACGTGTTGTCTGTCGATCGCCTTCTCGGCCCTATTGTCCACATTGAACCTCTGGAGCGGTCGAGTGATGTAATAGCCGTAAACCCTTTTGATCATCGCTCCCATTATCCGGTACAGCCTATCGATATCCATGTCCGCACCACTCTATACCTGCGTATATATGGATGTGTGTTCAGATAACCCTGATAACCGTATAACAGTTAACTATTTTGTAGTAAACTTGTAAAACTTATATTTCAATTCATATAATCGCACTTAAATGTCATTATAATGTTTGCAAATTAATTGGACATGTCAGCAAGCAAAACTAGCACAATATGCCATTTGATGGCAGTGTAATATGAAATTAACTAGATTACTTTTGGATTAATAATGCATTGCGTTTAATGTTTGCAAACTTACTGTCAAATTGTTTTCATAGTTAACTTACAAATCATATATTTCTATGCAATTAATGGATAATATGATGCATTTTATGCATACCTATTGCATAATCATACAAATTATAGGCTATATTAAAATATTTCAAATATTAAACCTATAAATAAAAATTTGCATAAAATCTCGAGAGAGAGAGAGAGAGAGAGAGAGAGAGAGACTACGAGAGAGCTATATATCGACAAACTTGAAATACAAAAAAAACAATACTTGATAATTATGGCTAATTAGCCAGGTATTCACAAAAATCCTAATTACAATCCACTATTGAATCCATACTATCACTGCATTCACACCACACGTACTGTCAATGCAATTATCATACGCACAAAACACCTTGGTACATAATAATGTGTGTTTATTTACCATTCATTTAGCAAAACAGTGGCACATGTCTCGGCACTACTCACTCACATATGCCGTAATCGCTAACCAAAGGGTTGATCGCCAAACGTAACGCTACTCTACCCGCGAACCCCCACTCATTCACTCCCCCATTGGTGTAACACTATATGCGTAATGCGATTGCAGTATAATATGTGACATTCAATGGCATAATGACAGCAATAATCGCGTGAATACACAATAGGCAGACAACATATGCGAGGTATGCGTGCCATTCAGCCCCCCTCTACTCCCAGGCACTCGCATACCAACGATGCCATCGTATCTCCCGGGCCTCCCATTCCCCATATGCCTCCCATACGTCGCATACCTGTGTGAAAGGGCCGGACCCTATTGATGCCTATGTGTGAGAAAGTGTGAGAAATACTTAAAAAAGTTTTTTTTATGAAATAGTTTTAAGACTTTTTTATGTCACTATCGATATAATACTGGTGTGAATGCATGGCATGTGTGAGTGGAGTACGGGGTGTCCCGTAAATGACGTGCACTACAGGGGGAGTAGTCGTGTGTTGTGTTTGTGTGACATATGTTGCGCACGTAATTCGATCGGAATGTCTGCATTCCAATGCACTGCGCGTGCGCTACAGTCCACACACACAACACACGAACACTAATTG